AACCTGAACAGACACTTCTCCCCAGAGGACATACAAATGGCCAACAAATATTTGAAAAGATGCTCAACATCACTATCTATTAGGGAAATTAAAATCAAAACCACAATGAGATAACATCTCACACCTGTTAGAATGGCTATAATCGACAGGACAAGTAATAACGAATGTTGGAGAGGACGTGGAGAAATAGGAACCCTCATACACTACTGGTGGGGCTGCAAATTGGTACAGCCACTATAGAAGAGTATGGAGGTTCCTCAAAAAACTAAGAATCGATGTACCATATAATCTAGCAATCCTTCTACTGGGTATTTACCCCAATAATTTGAAAACTCATCCAAAAAGATATTTGCACACCCATGTTCATAGCAGCATTATTCACAGTGGCCAGGACATAGAAGTAACAGAAGTGTCCTATGATAGATGATTGGCTAAAGAAGCTGTGGTACATATATACGACGGAATATTACTTAGCCATAGAAGAGATGAAATACTGCCATTTGCAACACTGATGAACCTTGAAATAATCATACAAAGCTAAATAAGCCAGACAGAAAAGGTTGAAAATCACATGATCACTTATATGTGGAATATAACCCTAAAAGCAACCAATGAACTGGACAAATAGACTCATGGTCATGGACAATGGACTAGTGGTTACCAGAGGGGAGGGAGGAGGGAAATAAAATGTTAAAGTTTTTTAAAAAATTATTTTAAAAAAAGTTGCAAAAAGCGAAATTAACATTTATTGTACAGATTTATGACTTTCAACTCCTACCAGCTTGTTTGCTAGATCTCAGCCATACTGTTTTCTATTTTAGGATAGCCCCAAAGATGTGCATCACATAAACCATGTTAGCCACAGTTAACAGCTAGCATCCTAGTGAAGGTACAAAGATTCCACCTTGCCACCGCTGACCTGTCAACAGCTCAACACACAGGATCAGGTGTTAACAAGGTAATTTTGTCGGCATCCAAACTCTAGCAGAGGGAATTACTTCCATTTGGAATTAGTCTGTAATAGTCACTGAAAGAAATGAACCCCAGGGGCTGAGAGCAATACTTTTAAGAGAGCTCAACTGAGTATGTTGTTGATGGAAAAGAAAGACTGGAAATCAGAGGGAAAGGGATGTGGGGAGTGAGAAGCTAAGCGAAGGAAGAGCTAGGTGCTGCTGTGTGGAAGTGTGAGTCTCAGGGCGTTGCTCATGGGGCCACGTTTCACATCTGCCTGTGGGAACTGAGCGTGAAGACGGCACTATGAGAACCAACAGCGCTACTATGAGAACCAACGCTTCTAGGAAAGAGATCTAAATTTAAAACGGTTTGAGTTGCCCAGATCATGGAAATAGGAATCGGAGGCAGATCTTATTCAGCTCAAGGGCGAGTGAGGTTCCAACTAGCACTTTGCTAACAGATTTCACACCTACTGGAGGGTGGGGGTGGGGTGGCCCATGGTAGCAGCAGCTTTCTCTGCAAGAAAAACCTGCAGGTAACTGCCTTCCCCAGGACATTTTTCATTACCATACAGCAGAGTGAAGTTTTACAAAATAGATGTGGCCCATTCAAGTGATTTTCCTAGAAAAATTATATAAACTGCCCCCCAAAAAGGCTACTATGTTCTGGCAAAACTTAAGAAAAGCTGACAGTTGTCTAACAGTACCAGAAAGTCCAGTTTATCCACTGGAATCTTACGAGCAGTGGTAGGCAAGCAGGCTACTCCCATCCGGACCCGTCCGGACAGGGCATCTAAAAGGCAGGGAATTCAAGATGGCTGGAGGGCACGCCAGTAATTCCATACGGTTCTAAGTTGTTTTTAATTTTTACAGTATTACTTCTGTAAATTAAATGTTTAGTTATTAAATTTTATATCTTGTCTATATCATGAGGCTTCAATCACCTCCATTCCTTTCTGTTTTAGGCTAAGTATTAGGTTAGAATTTAGCCCAAAGGAGACAGAATCCTAAAGATTTTAAAGCTACCCTAACCCCACCCCCAGGTAAAAAGTCTTAAACACTATAATTTTAAAACTTTTTAATGTCACATGCAACATGGCTCCAAAACAAAACATAAGCATATTATGAACCAACTCCCTAACCCCCCACCCCAAAACAAAGCATATTTAAAAACAAGGCTACTTGAATCATAACTAACAAAGCTTAAATTCTCAATGAGCCCAATTACTGCTAAGACCCTGAATTCCAGGAAGGATGGCTCACGGATCATGCAGATCCACCTTCACTGCGGAACCATCACGGTTCAGTCTCATCGTGTCGCGAATAAGCGCTCTCATCATGTCTACATTTTCACATAAGCGGTTCACCTTGGGATAAGCAAAAAGTCTTTCCAAGGGTACATAAAACTTATTTCCAAAACAGAAAGGTTTGGGAGACTTCTCTATGTTGGTTTTTTCAAGTTCTGTGAAGACTGGTCCAAAAAACGTGATGATCCCGGTGTCGTTTAACTTATGAATAGATTCGTCGTCCTGTAGTATTTTCACACTTGATACGTATCTGCGTTTCAGGCTCTGGACTTGGCGGGACACCTCACTTGTCAGTGCAAATTTGCGGACTTCTTTTTGCTGTAAACTCGGGTATGAGACTGTATAAACCTGAAGGAAAATTTTCAAAACCATTAGTTAACTTTTTACCACATTAAGAATTAACCGTCATCTACGGCCATGCTACTCTTAACAAGCCCAATCTCGGTTGATCTCCGAAGCTTAGCAGGGTTGAGCCTGGTTAGTTCTTGGATGGGAGACCACCTAGGAAGACCAGGTGCTGTAAGTTTTAAAAATAAAAAAATAAGAGACTGTAAACTGACAAGGTCCTTGCAATCCGTGAGGTCAACCAAGGGTTGCCTCACCTTAAAAAAAATAAACTGTATGTACAAATGTCAAACCCTACTAATCATAAATGCCACAATTATAATGAGAATCAAACAATTGACACATAGGGTAAAAAAGAAAAAATGTTGCCAATTAAAAGGGAAATGTGTTTATTCATCACTATATCTCCTTTAACCAAAAGGGCCTAAGCTTGGAGCTTGTTCCAAGTCATTATTTGAACCCAGTTGCTGGGGGCTTCTTCCTGTTGATGATCCTACATTACAAAAGGGAAGTTGCTGACCCAAACAGCCTAGTAGCCTAAGCCTCCAGCAGACCATTCTCTTTAATATTAAGACATGGCAAAAGGCCAGGTGGTCAAGGGCTACAGCAGACCCAACTCTGATGGCTATGGGCCAGGAAGGATTCTCAAAAGTTAACCTCGAAATAAGGTCATTTACACACATCTATCTCTACAGTGAGGACTGTGAGTTCACCATCCCAGTAAATATACTTGTCCTGATACTACCTCACAAATACTCACAATTTTATAAACATGTTCATCACACTGTCCCGCAATGCATGATTCAGTTGCCTTTGCTCCAATTTTCCGGAAGACCCCTATCTGGGTACAGTATCCAACATTCCCAGCTCTTGCTGGTGGTTCTCCCACGCCAGTGAACTCCACAGAGTAATTGTAGAAATTCGCCACACTTAAAGCCCTGAAGTCAAAACAAGGAGAGAAATAAATTGTTGTGAAATGGAGTGTAGGGGTGGACAAGGACACAAGCGGTCCAGTCCCAACTCTTATTTGGGTTTAGAATTATGCCAGGAACATGTCAAGCCCCTGGGAGATGCCCCTGGGCCAGGCCCCACACCTTCTCTGTTTCCCATCTCAACCCTTGACACTCCTGTCGCCTTCATATAAAAAGGTATCAGATGCCCACACCCACTTCCCAGCGTGAGACCTAAGAGATCAAACTTCCATCGATTTTGCCCAGATGTGGTTCCTTGACAATCTTAATGACGTGCTCAGTTGCACTTTGGAAATCAATTAAATTGGGAGAAAAATTTCAATATCATATAAAGATTTACTTCACTGTATTTTAAACCTCAGTGGAGTCCCCCCAAAAAACAATAAACATGAAAACATTAGAACTCACCAAGTCTGAAACTGCCTTCTGTTCCACTCAAATTTGTGATCTGAATCTCTTAAAGTCACTGCTGGAAACAGGGGATTGAATTCAGAGTTCGGTGTGCTGATGACGACCATGGCTGGAGACAAGTACCCAAATACGACTTCGGGAAATCTGGCCAGATCTTTTTCATCCAAGTGTTCTATTCTAAAATGGTTAGCGAGAAAGAAAATCTTAGCTTCACCTGCAAATATTCCCTAATTGATTTATCAAAAACAATTTCCAACTCTCCATTGATTTATCGTCCCTTCTTTGAATATGTAATAGTGACCTAAAATAGTCTTATCCTTCCCTTTGCCCATGGTAAAAAAGCCAGTCCCAACTGACAAGCAATTGTTTACAAATAAGATTATATTTAGAATACTAAATTTACTGAGACTAATTCAGTGAGATTTTTCTAATGAGTTTATACAGTAGAAATTAGTTTAATACTTACAATTCAATACATGTTATTAAGTCAAATCCAAGCAGACGAGAGTCTCTCTCCACAACAGAGCCATGATATAAGATGATGGACAAATTCAGGTCCCGGGGACTTAGATAATCCCCGCAGAATGGAGACAATGTACACCTGCAAGAGCATTATTGTTAACATTCGGAGGACATTTGAACACAATGTTTAGAATGCTCACCAACTACAGAACTCTGACCTGGTTATCTTCTGCCTCCGCTGGTGTGTCTGACATAGCACAATGCATCGAGTGCCAGGCCAGAGAGCAACCCTTCTCACGGGGAAGCAACCGGTCAATGTCAGTAACAAGGCTTTTGAATGTTTGATGTTGCTCTCATTCTTAATACCTTTGGGCTACCAGCTCACCTTTGGAGGAGTGATTTTCAGCTTTTTCTTTAGAAGAAATCTAATGTATATATGAGATTGGAGAGCTGCGCTGCTTCAAATGGAAGAGGCAGCCTGGTGCTCTGCTGTAAGCTACCAGGGTGTCCAGCAATAAAGCAATTAGATTCTTGCCTCTTGAAATTTAATTTGCAATGCTTTGACTACTAACATTACTTAATCGAGGTTATACTTTCTACACTAGAAACAGGTATTCGATGTATACAGCCAATTAGTATTATGGCATAGTCATTTGGTGAGCCTGAGGCATAACATTTTGTATGTTGTATAAAATTAACACTTCCTGTAATAGTAGCTTGTTTTAGATTAATACACAGTTCTCTCAGAAATTAGGTATTACCTTTGTGAGTCTATTTTATCTTTATTGATATCTACTCCAACAAGCAGTTCAATGCAACTGTGGCATTTAATTGTCTGTATAAGTGAAGCATTACCACACCCCAAGTCTGCAACCTGTAGACAACAGAAAATGTATTTTAGAAACATTTATAGCCAGAAAGAAGTCAAATAGGAGCAAAGACTTGGGAGAGAGTGGGTACCAAAAATCATAAAATTAGATGAGAGCCTCTTTTTTCAGAAAAAAGTACACAGAAATTAATCTGAGACATTAGAAACCTGTTAACTATCCATGTTAACCTAACTTGGTCAAGCTTCTCACTTTTCCCAGGCCCTTAACCATTGGACTGCCCTCAGCCTTTACTCGGGCTTAACACATTCTACTCTCCATTCACACCACCCTTTTACCACTTTCCCCGCCCAGCTCTCTGAAGCTTAGTTTACTCCCCTCGAAAAGAAAACCCCTTTCTGCTCCAACTATTGAGACAGGTGTGGATCTTATCGTCAGTGTTCTCTCCATTGCAACAACTCCTTTCTCTCCTTGCAATAATCTTTCTGAAGTCGCTGCTTTCTAACCAAGACTTCTTTACTTGACAAAACATTTTATAAGAGTGTTAAACGTGTAGAAGAAGAAATACCTACCTTCTTGGGTTTATGTTGATCCACCAAATCTTTAACGAAGTTGTAACGCTGTCTGTATAACGGAGGGCTAAAATGAATTACCTTCTTGAAGGGAATGTGAAAATTACCATCAACCACAATATTGCACTGAAAGTTTACCAACAAAAAAAATAAGTCATGCATGATTTCAAGAATGAATAGCTTTCTTTTCCCCACTTTGCAGAACATATTGGCCCTTCAACCACCTGTGCTAAAATTAGGTGACAACGCATTTCTTCCACTGTTCATCTAAGCCTTCTCTTTAAGAATCTTGCTTTATGCTTTCTAAAACTGAGTTGAAAATTATGAATACATCAAATACAATTACAAGCCTCCAAGCCTACGGATCTTTAGGATCCAGATAGGCAGAAGGCTAACAAGTCTCTTCCTGACCAAACTGAAGTCAGGCTCCTTTGAGCCCTCTGACTAGACCTCCACCTGGACCCCATCCTGTTTTCGGCCTGCCTAGCCCAGCTGTAGCAGAGTCCTAAGTCTGTTTAGAGAATCCCCTACCCTTGATCAAACTATCTGATCAATGTCCTCATGCCCCACCCTTGATAACACCTTGGCCTGCCTGCCTTCAGCAAAAATCCTGTTAAGTCCATAAATCCACTTAGCAAGAATCCCCCATACCCTTGATGTCTCTTTTCCTTTCACTAACCCCTTCACTCAGCTCATAGGCTATAAATCCCCATTAGTCTTTGTTGTGTGTAAAGTTGAGCCCCATCTCGCCCCTACTAACAATGCTCTTATTGCAACAGTCATAATATCAGAATTTTTCTTGAACATAACCCCATTAGATAAATAACAGTCATATAAGTGGGTTAGGAAGGGCAGCAATTACCTCTTTGTTGCTCTGGTCCATTGTGTTTAAGATTTGTTGAAACAAAAATGCAGATGTATACTTCAAGCTCTAGAATCAGCAATGACTTGGCTGTAAATACAATATATCAAGTTATAAAAAGAGAAGCCTGTACTGTCTAGATCACTAGGGAAGGGACAGAGTGGGCTTTCTCCCTTCTCTTCATGTTACCATTTAATTTGTGGAAAAATCCCAAAACCAATCCAGCCGAAAACCAAGCAGTGAAACCAAGCAGTAACTTGGAGAGAAGGAGAATTCAGATTTATTACACACAGTCCCAGAGGAGCTAGTGCCCTGAAGATCCCTGAAGATCTCGGTGGGGAATGCAGTTGCAACATTCCTTAGAGTTTTTACACAAGCTGATTGGTTGTTTGAACTCAGACCGTTACAAATGGCGGATGTTGCTATGGCTTTGCAAGTAGTAACATTGGGAGAAAGGGGAGAGTTGTTATGGATACTGAGGGTTACAAATTGTTACAGAAAGCAGGATCTGCTAAGGTACAAATAGTTACATTCATCAACCAAAGGGCAAGTGAGCTCTGCAAGGGAGCTCTTGCATACAGCAAGCATATTTACAGAAGCAGAACAGAAAGCTGATTAGCCTTTTGTATGAGGATTCCTCAAATTTCCTCTTCAATCCACAGAATTTATTCAGTACCGTCCCACACAACAGCCAAAGGCTCAGAAAACCTAAAAATTTTCACTCTGCCAAACCCAGCTAAATGCAGTAACACCCATTCTTTCCTTTTTACTGTTAGTTTGACATGAACTGAAAAATTCTATCGGTTTGACTATTTCATTAAAGCGCCCAACCTCACCCAAATTGCTGGCAATTACTCTTTCACACATGGTCAAAATGAAATTTCGAGGGGGGAAAATAGTGTCCTCCATAATTAAGCTAAAGATGCTCCGACATCTATCCAATTCACGAATGGACTTGGACTTAAATTTAGGTTCCCTACTGCACGTCCGTCTATCAACTAGAACTTAGTCAAAAATGTAGGTAACATGTCATGTCAAACTCTAACTTTTCGAATTATTCTCTAAGTCGAATCCTGAACGGCCGCCCCAAGCCTCCAGGGAGGCAAGGTTACTGTCCTGAGCATGTGTCGTCGCATCTCTTACCTATAGTAGGAAGCACGCCGAAGAAGCGAAGCCCGACGCCGCCAGAGACCAGCGGGCTGCGCGGAGCCGCGGCTGCATTTAACTCCTGGCCCCGCCCTTGACGGCCGCGCACGCGCGGTCTCGCTACGTGACGTTACGCGCCCGCGGCCACACCTGCGCCGCCCACACCTGCGCCGCAGGCTCTTTTGCGATAGACCCTGGTCCCCGAGCCCGCCTGACACCTAGGCCATGCCTCCAGGCTCTCCGCTCCTAGGCGTCGGTTTTGTGTCTCAACGGCCGCAGTGGCGCATGGCCTGAAGCCATTTTCTAGGCGCGACTGTTGGAAGCAGACGTCGCCGCACCCAGCGCGTCCCAGGGCCGCGAGCAGGGCGGCGAGCTCGGGCGGCTGTTGGGTTCGTGGCTCTGCCCGTGAGCAATCAAAGCTGAAAACGGTCCGGGCCGATGCAAGGAGGCAAGAGAAGCGACGCGGCTGAGCGCGAGCCGGCCGGCGGCTAGTGTCCCAATCAGCCGCCGCTAGAATCCCCCCAGAACAGTCCGCAGGGGCTTTAAGGGTATTCTGGGCTGGGTAGAATTGGTCCAGTACATCTGAACTCTGAGGAAAACTTTCAGACCCCAAAACTGGTAGTTTCTGCATGCTGGGCAAGCAGCTGATCTCTAAGAAAAGCTACAGTATCGAGTCTTCCTTTACCTGCAGAGATTCAACTTGACACTGTATAAATCAGTTATTTCTTGTATGTGATGAAAGTTTAATTAAGGAAGGGGTGAGGAGACGCGACGCTCCTTTCTTTGGCGAAAAAATATTTTAGTCCTGTTTTAAAAGACACAAAACGTGGTGTTTACTAATGCATAACCCATTAATATACTATAAATAATATATTGGAACTATTTTCAAGTACTTAATACCTACTATAGGCAAAGCACATTGTTGTCAGCATGGGTTATCACAAATGTGGGATTACTACACAATTCTTGTTTTGGGTATTTGGAGGAGCCTAGTCTCAGAAAAGTAATTCAAGGAGAGCCTCACTGAGCGGGTCTTGTTGGGCTGGGGAAACTGCAGTTAAACAGACTGTCTTCATTAAAAGAGCACATCCCTCATTACAGACTGAATTCAAATAGAACCCTTAATAAATGAATTCCACTTCTGGGTATTTTTAAATTAATTAAACAAGGAGGCCGTTAGACTAAGATGGCTCTAACACCTTGGTAGGCTGCATAAGCAAACCAAAACCTAAGGCTATAAATGCTTCAAGGTTAGCTGGAAATCTAGGACAACTAATCACAAACAGCCAACTAGGCCTTTCCAAATAAGGCACCCATTTAAGCTAAGGCAGAATAATTTTCTTGCTTTGCTTTGACATTTCTGTGAAAGTCTTTCCTCTAGTTCCTGCCAGTGGTTAAAAGCCCAGGAATACCTATCAGACTGCCACACCTCTCCTCTAACTGAAAATGCTTCAAGCCCAACATCGAGAAATCGCTACTAACTGCCCTTTGGACTCAAAACTGAGTTTTTAGTCTGTTCTAAACATTAATCTTTGCTTTTATTTTCATAGAAATGCCTCTTATTAAATACCTGGTTGCTTGCATCGTATAGGCCTAACTTTGGGAGCCCACCTGTGACACCACCTCCTGAAGTAAGACACAACTCTAACCTAACTGACCTATTCTCAGGATTAAAGATTGGTTCAGTGAGTATGGAACAAACTACCAACTCGGCTTCTGGACTGTGAAACTTACTGGGAAGTTTCAAAGGCAGGAATTCGAAGGGTAGCAGAATGTGCTACTCCAAAATATGTCTCTATGGCATAAGGATTGTTTTGAGCTAATTATTTAAAGAAACAGTAGACATGGGAGAAGCTCTAAAAATTTCCCTTTTGTAAGGGGAATTTACATTTATAAAATAAATCTCCATTTATAATGGGGTATCCTCTCTATACCAAGCAGAAAAAGATGGCTAAATCACAAGAAATCTTATCAATGAAGAAGACACTGATTTAAATCTGCAAAACAGGCCTTTACCCTTGCTTTTTCTGGTAACTTGTCATAACTGGCTGCCTCCACCCCCACCCCTACATCTTTCGTTTGTCTTTACTAAAGATGGTATTTAAGGCGAATGACTTGGGCCTTCTCTAGAAGTTACTCACTCTTCCTGGGTATCTCTCATGAGGTATACATGTTAATAAACTTCTGTTTGTTCTTCTCCTGCTAATCTCTTATTACAGGGAGTCCCAGCCAAGAACTCAGAAGGGTAGAGGGAAAATTACTTTTCCTCCTCTTCGGTATGATTTCATTTATATGAGGTACCTAGAATAGTCAAATTCACAGAGACAGAAAGTAAAACAGTGGTCGACAGGGGCTGGGGGTAGGAGGAAATTGAGAGTTATTATTTAATGGGTACAGAGTTTCAGTTTAAGACAATGGAAAAGTTATATAGATGGATGGTAGCGATGGTTGCACGACACTGTGAATTAACTTAATGCCACTGACCTGTACACTTAAAATAGTTTCCTGTATATTGTTACCACAATTTAAAATTTTTAAAGAAATTTTTTAAAAGTTACTATGTGATCTTACAAGATTCCTGAATCTTGAATTTTTGCCTTACCTGCTAGCTAGTTGGCTTGTTTATGAACTTGAATTCTCATGTCTAGCTCCCTCTCCAAATTTGCCTGTTTTATCATTCTCCTGGTCTCTTACTATTTCAGAGGCTGGAAATAATACTTGGCTCTATCCATTTCCACCCTTCCCACATTTGGACATTCGTCAGATCTTGACCTCTTCAAGCTGTCAGTTGCATCTGTTCCTTCCCACAGCCAATATCTTAGCTTAGCTTACCCTTTGTTATCTCATTTTTTTCATCATACCTAATCTTACTTACCTCTACTAGATTCTAAGTCCCACTGAGAAACAGATCATGTTATTTATTTTCAGAATGAGTTTTAAGTCAAACAGACCTTAAATCCTGATTTGACTATTACTCTCTAACCTTTGGAAATTTATTTACCCTCTCTTAGTGTCAATTTGTTCAGTTCAAAAAAAATGAGAATTAAATAAGACTACTTATTCAATAAGTATGTATAGTTTACCTATGTTATGGACCAAATACTGGTTTGAGTGGGGAAAAAAAAATCAGGTAAAGGTTCTTCTCCTATGGCTCTTTTAGCACAGCTGGTGTAGGTGTCTGCCATACAAGTGACCAAAAGTTATCTTGGATACTAGCTTGATCCTGATGCTCAAAATAAAATGAAATATTTGGAGGTCTTGGAAGAAAGTGATTGTATTTTGCATGTAAGAGGAAACAGTTTGTGACCAGAAGAAAGATTGTGACAGATTATGATGAACAAATTCTTTGACATTTAAAAAAAAAAACCACACCTACAGCACCTACTATTCCAAGGTGGTCTCCCATCCAAGCACTAACCAGGCCTGACCCTGCTTAGCTTCTGAGATCAGATTAGATCTGGCACGTTCAGGGTGGCATGGCCATAGCTGACATTTTTATTGAAAAGTGGGGTCTATTTCTTCTTTTGAATCTGGATGGGTTTTGTGATTTCACCAATGAATGGAATACTAAAGTGCCAGTTTCAAGCCCAGGTGTTAAGAAACTGGCAACTTCTACTTCTCATTTCGGGGAACACCTACTCTTGGAATCCAGATGCCAGGCTGTGAGGAAGAACAAGTAGCCCCATGGAGCAGCCTACAGGGAGAGAAACCAAACGTGCCCCACCCCCACCCCTGGCTGACAGCATCAACTTGTCTTGCTAGTGAGTGAACCATCTTATGAGTGAATCCTCCAGACCTAGTTGAGCCACGTGGAAGCAAGGTGACAATTTAGAAAGCCATTTCCATGACTCAGGACAGGTATAATAGTGGCCTGGACTTAGTGATGACAATGAAGATGGAATGATGTACGGAGTCTAGATATATTTTAAAGGTAAAACTCACAAAGGTTCATAATCGTCTGGTTGATTACAAGGGATGAAAAGAAGGAGTCAATATTTCCAGTCTTCTGCATTTGGCACTTGTCATGGTGGCACCAGGCATGGCCTAGACATGCAGAATGACACAGGGTGAGTTCTTGAACCTGGACGTGCTGTGGAAATGCGCTGCCAGCAACTACATCATCAATTGCCAAGGACTACGCATCCATCCAGAGGAACATGGCTGAGGTTGACGAGGTGACAAGCAGTTTCAATGCCAGTTTAAAACCTAAACTATCTGTGGGGCCATTCTCAAGAGGGGCAAGTTAGATGACTTCGTTCTTCAACTGCCTACGGCCAACAGCATCACCTCTGACTGAAGAGAGTCATGGATGTGGAATATTTGTCATACATAAATAGTGAATCCCCCCAAAAAAATATTTCCCAGGTTTCTGATATGACCATCTGGTAGGACGAAGGTGCCATCACTAGATAGGAAAGTCTACAAAGGAAGAAGATTGAAAAGGATTGCAAATCAAGCATTCAATATTAGATATATCAACTTTGAGATGTCTAAGAGACATCAAATAGTGATAAGAAAAATAAATTGGTAAAAGTACAAGGTTACATCTCAATCACTTTTGACCTAGTTAAAATTGAAACTTAAGCACATCCTAGGAAACTAAAATTTGAGCCATCAGTTTTTCTAGCCAACCACTAATCTCAGGGACGTTTCTGGGGATCTGTGCATTACCCTCAGCCATATATGCCCTGTAGCTACAAGGACATGATGGACTCATTCAAAGCTTCCATGGAGGCACTATTTCCCACAGTTCTCAACTGGAATGATGGTCAAATTTATTTGTCACCTTGGGCCACAGTGCCCAGATATTTGGTCAAACATTATTCTGGATATTTCTGTGGAGGTGTTTTTTTGTTTTTTGGATTTTTTTGGATGAGATTAACATTTAAATTGATGGATTTTGAGTAAAGCAGGTTACCCTCCTTAATGTGGGTGAGTATCATCCAATCTATTGAAGGTCTTAAGAGAACAAAGACTGGCCTCCCTTGGAGCAAGAAGGAATTCTGCCAGCTGACTGCCTTTGGACTGAGCTGCAATTTTTCCCTAAGTCTCCACCCTGCTGGCCCACCCTGCAGATTTTAGATTTA